ACACCTCTTTTGGTTCCGCACGGCTGGGTTCATATCTGAGTGCATACAGGTGAGTGGGAACTGGCCTGCTTCACCTGGGATTTATGAATGACCTGAGGAAGCTTAAAGGTGATTGGTCTGTGTGGCTTAAGAAAACAAAGTTCTCATTCATGGTACTTCTTTCGGTGTCTCACTATGGGATATGACCCCCTGCGTATTCCTCAGAAGCATTTATCTCATTACTCCAATCCTGACTGACGTGATCACGACACATGCGTCACCTACCCTTTAAGTAGCTTGCGCCACGATGCAGCATCATTCAAACACTTATTTTTGCTTTGATGCACATATCTCTCACCGACTAGCTTAACTGTCATCTGACTGGAGAAAAAAACTTTTAGTTAACTCTCCATATAGGTGCTGGCTGCTGTGGCTTCAGTCTTCACCATAGTCTGGATCACATATCGCCTTGTGAGGGCTTTTCTGTAATAGCACACCAGCTAATACGGTTTTCTGTTTCAGTTCCTGGTGTGAAGAGTAGCAGAATCCATTACCGAACGAACAGGTATGTATGCTACTATCGCTGTTATTTATATGCCTAACTATGCGTCGTGCTACATTTGGAGAGCTGTGGTACGGCAGAGGGAGAAATCATGAGAATGTATTCCCTTCAGTCCGTCTTTAAACTCTCAATCAGAAAAAGATGAAATAATGACATAATCACTGATCCACTGTCTCATGTCTTACTGAAGTATATAATCCAGGCTTTGCTCAAACGTGAAGGTTTGCATTATTCCTTCCTGTTTCAAAAGCAAGAACCAAACAAAAATGTATGAAATCACAAGGTTCCACCCTTGTCTCAGGTGTTCAATGCAGTACTTAGTTTTTGTCACTCCAGTTCATTTTATTTTGATTGAAGCCAGATGCCCGCTTCTCTCCCCTCTCCAGTACCAAACTCAAACCACCTGCAGCCTCATCTCCTTCAGGAATTTGCAGAGATTAAATGGTGTCACCATAATAACCACATGTGGACCTCTGAGGCGGGTCCAGTTAGCTCTAATAGCACAACACGGGATCTCCCAGTAAGGTCTCAAACACGACAGGTCTAACTGCTGTGTAAACCAGCTGAGGTCATCATTCTGCAGTTCAGACTGTGTTACTGGAGCTTTAGGACTGTGAAAGATGGAATATGAGACAGCAATGACCTTTTCAGACAATTAGGATTTAGACATAACTGGTAACAAAGCATGAGGCACTTTTGTAAAAAAAAAAATTGTTTTGGAGGCCTAGATCAAACAGAGAACTCAAACAAAAAAAGAAAAACTTTTAAAATTCTGAGAAAAATTGTATGACCAAGATTTCTTCCACATGAACACAATGCATGATGTTGATGTTTCTGAGTCTGGCTGAGTCACACTACAAGATTTTAAACCAGTCAGCCGATTTTCAAAGACTGATAGAGCCCACACATGAGGATAAAAATAAAACATGGATATACCAGGTTTGGTCCTACAGTGTGTGGTGTACAGCCACACGTCAAGAGACAACACACCACACACGACTGTCAGATATTAAATCACGCAAGACTTCCTGAAACCTCGCGAGAATTCAGATGTCCGAGGAAAAATCTCACGTGACCTCCAGAGACGTGAGTTCAGAGTAAAGAAACATTTGCAACAAGGAAGAAACAATGTCGATCGCTTGTGGACTATTTTTACCGGAGGAAAAACAACTTAACATCCAGCAGACGTTCTGGTGAGTCATGACAGTTTTTGTTTACGTCACCTCACTTTCTGATTGGCTACACGTCTCATTCAACAGGCTGAGAGCTCGGGTGAACACTACACACTCTCTGATATCGGGCCAAAAAAAATCAAACATGTTGAATATGCCCGATTTGAGGTCGGAGCGGTCCCGACGTCCTTCCGAGCCAACTAGATCACTCTTAACTCTTAACTCACCACCCACGGCAGGAATGTCTTGTATGATTATCTTTAGAGCCATCACGATAGTCTGGACTTCCTTAAGATTGTCGGAAGGGCAAAAATTGGCATAATTTTCTTGTAGTGTGACGCCGGCCTTAGCTGAGGCAGGCAGCAAAGTCAATGTTATAAAGGGAGAATAATTCTAAAGCTAAGGTCAAAACAGTGATTCCAATAAGATTCCTCCATAAGTTAAGTTCCTCCACAACTTTTCACAACTTTCACATCGTTCTAAAATTCTGATGGCTGAGAAGCTGCTTTCCACTGAATTTTGTTGTTTAATTGCTTTAGATCCACAGTTATACGGTGTATGAGAAATTCATTTATAAATTCCCTAATGACTAAAAGCAGAAGGAAACTACATAAAATCAAAATATTAAAGTGAAGTCCCTTCTTGGAATGTGACGCAAACACAATTGTTTTTTCAGACAGCAGTGTGTAAAGAGTCACCACACAATACCCAGTTTATTTCCTGATAAAAGAGATTAAACAATCTTTCAATGAGTTTTACTGGAAACCTTGGTTAAAAAAACACAGCAGATGTTGTCTTTTACATCCATTAAGGGTTCGACACTCGGGAGGCGACGTCGCTCGCTCTCCATTAATTTCCTATGGAGCCTGTGCGGTGAGGCGACAATCGCTTGCCCTCCTCCAGCTAAGCGACCGGCGAAAATAGTGCATGTGAAATTTCGCGCTCGTACACATACACGTGCACACGCGAGCTTGTGACGTGACATATGAAAGTTGAAAAATGTTCAAATTTTGTCGCTGTCGCTTAGCGTACAACCAATCAGCGAGGGTTTCATTGATTGACCAATGAGAGGAGAGTATGCTACACACTGCGGTTAGCTAACACTTTCACCAAGTGATTACTGAAAAGCTTTGTGGGAATTTATTGGCACCAGGGTGACGTTTATGGTAAGTTTTTCCTCATAAAACTGTATCTTGATGTGTGTTTGTTTTTCAATATCATTAGCATCACAAGATTTGTTTAGTTTACATGTCCATAATGCACACCCGCCTTCAGAGTCAACAACCAATCAAATTTTGTGAAGACAAGCGATCTGAGAGCGCGATTCACAACGCTTCGATCGCTATTGCGTCCCGTGTGTCGGGTTTCACCCTGGCTGTGATGATTGCCGCTAATCGCTGTACTCCCCGTATGTCGAGCCCTTTTTAGATGGCAAATTTAGAAAGCTACATCTGTGAATAAAAGTCACTAGACTCAACATTCACACTGATGCATGTTTTGCAGTGTAGCTGGTTTAAAATGGGTTTTCTGACAATTAAATACCAAATAACTTGCAAATTTTTGAAGATTGGGACATCTTATCTGAATTAATGAAGTGAAATCTCTAAAAAAAAGGTCTCTTTACATTCTCTATACAGAATATAAACAGAACTTTATTGAGCTTTCACACAAAGCAGACAGGTGTGGGCCAGATCTGGTGTCAAGCTAGCACAGCTGGCATGACAAGTGGTTTGTTGACCAGACATGGGCCAGGTCTGGCAATTGTGGCACTGTTTTAAGATGAAATGTCATAACTGGCCCAGTTGTGGTTGTTTATGTGGTGCTGGCCCATGTATGGACGCACCTCTGGGCCCATAAAAGGCCGTCATTGGAACGACCATTTGGGCTAGACAAAATTTTGCTATGTAGCTTGTAGTGGTAATTTCTTGAAAAGACATTATAAGAGTTTAACAGTCTATCTCCATGGGACTTTTCTTGGTTAAGTAAAGATTAAAAGAGACAAAGTAATGGATAAATGGACAGCAAAGGTAGATCTACACTAGAAGGCTTGCAGATAATAAGTCTGAGAAGAAACAACTCAGAGTCTTCAGCCCTGTTCCTCCTGACCCAATGTCCTACATGTTTTAGCTGTTTCCCTGCTTCGGACCACCTAATTCAAATTAAATTATCTCAAAATCATGTGAATCACTCATTCATTTCAGTCAGGTGCACTGAAGTAGGAAAACACAAAAAAATATGCAGGTTAGTGGGTCATGAAGAACTGGGTTGAAGACCTCTGATATAGATCACTCAACTTTAACAAAAGACTTTCAATGTCATTACAAACTATAAAGCAACACTGCATCATTGCAGTCATCATGTCATCAACAGGCAAAATACAGATTAAACAGGCATGTAATGCTTATATTTATCCTATTAATCTAATGTATATATATTATGATCATGCATTCCAAACTCATGTGAAAGAGGGAGTGAGAAACAGAGGAACAGCTTTCAACTCTACTTTGGCTATTTGCTACAAGTCGATATTTTGGGCTCTATTTATTGGGGTGAAACGAGGTCATCAGAGGTTCAAACAAACACAGACACAAATGGTGATCATGTGATTGCCACTGTGAAGTAACAGACAACAGCTGACAGCTGGAGCTATGCAAGCCCAGAGCTTTGTGATGAAACCCAGTCGAACTGAGTTCTCATCGCTGACCATTTTTAATTCAACATAAGCATCTCAAGTGAACCGAAAAGAATTGATCGTAGGAACCTGGACAGCTGATGAAGTGATCCCATGCACGGGGAGCAATATATAAAGCATGCACAATAAAACAAGATAACAAGCTGCAGCAGGATGTGATGATCTTCAGGTGATCCTCTTACAGTGACACACATTATGTCAGTTTACTCTATGACCACCACATGCCAGGATCACATGAAAGCAAAGGAATCTGAGGGTTAAAAGGACACTTCCACTCTTCTAAAGCTAATGAACTGAACTGAAGATGAGCCCGAGGATGCAGCATCACATTACTGCCAGAACGACTTCATAAGTCCTTTTTAATGTTCTCTTTCTTGAGTCAAGAAGGGACTGGGATGGTTTGCACACTTGCAGCATCTGTTTAGAGCAGCATGCAGTCATTAGGCTGACTGTAATCTGTCCAAGTGCATGGTAAGAGATGACAGCAGGGCGAGGTGGATCCACTCAGGCAGCATGAGTGACACACCGAGCCGGTTCAGTGTTCAGTTAGAGCGATCAGCCCGAGAAGCCCGCACCCCTCCAGGCGTCTACTCACCAACAGCAGCCGCTGCTGTCAGACAGAGCTGGAGCATCCTGACGCAAGGCGCGCGTCCCCGCCTGTAGCCTCGCTCCTTCGCGCAGGACTTTCCGGATCCTCGGAGTGGGGAAGAAGCTGGTTAAACGACTAGTAGGAGTCCGAGAGACATTCCCGCACGTGCTTCGGCGTGGAGGAGCGAGAGGCGGACAGAGGGAGATGCTGCGTGTCCGCTCGGATCAGCGGCTCTGGGGAGCGGAGGAGGAAAAGGAGGAGGAAGGCGGGCTGTGATGTAAAGAGAGAGAGAGTTGTAAGTTCTCTCACTCACACTGTGGGAGAGAGAGTAAGGGGGGGAAAAAATGACAGCAGCGCTGTAAAACCTGCCGACTGGACCACAATTTATCTGCTGCAAGCCGGAGCAGACAGGCTGAGAGTTTCTGACAGCTCCTGCGTCACTGGAGCTTCCACCAGTATTCAGCTGTGTTAATGAGATCTTCACAAAGGCAGCTGATTTATTCATAACTGTATTCTTATTTTTTTATTATTATTATTTTATTGGTCCAAACAGCCGAGTTTATTCTGATAAACAAAAAGTGTAAAGTCTAAAGTTCTAAAGTGCATGTGGGGGTAATTATTTGAACAAATATCAACACTGCTGCTCGTGTTTTCTGATAAAAAAAATGGATTAAATTGCCCTCTGGTATCATGCTCCATCATCCAAAAATAGATTTCCCTCCTGGCACTCATCAGTCCTGAGGGGGTCAATCAGCTGGAACATATCAAAGACAGGTCCAAGCCAGAATGAGCTTTTTGTTATCTTTCAGTGGAAACATCAATCACATTAAAATTGGGAATGAAGCAACAGGCTGACCTTTTTAATTCTTTTAAATGAAATAATCAACCAAAGAAAATGTCAAAATACCAAACTAAGTGTTTGACTTTATAATGAAAATAAGTTGGCCTGTTTCACAGTGCATTGCTGTTTTTCATCAATGATTGCTTGTATTTTTTTATATGTACAACCTCGAAGAAATGTATGTTCTCTGCCTTGCATCCCAACGTTTTAAACAAAGGTGTGTTAGCGCACAGCGTTGGATGACTATCAGCTACGTCCACACCTTTCAGTGGTTTATAAAATATTTTGCTAACAGACAGAGTTGACTTCAACAATTCAAGCTTAGGTTTTTCAGTGAATACTTTCTGAGAGTTTAACACACACACACACACACACACACACACACACACACACACACACACACACACACA